CCCCAAAACCCCAAAACCCCAAAACCCCAAAACCCCATATAAGAGATCTTTACCTGAACATTTTAAGAAATAAAACAAGCAATATGTCTTCTTCAGACGAAGAATTAGATGCCGTTCTTGAGCTCCCTGAGTAAGCCGGTGCCTTCCTTGGCTAAAGAAAAGTGATAATTTGGATATAGGTTAGGAAGAACGCATAGTCAGGTCCAAGTATATGAGAATCTGTTTGGAAATCTTAACGTCCCACTTCAGAGAACCCACTCTTTGATGTCAGATATCCTTGAGGAAGAATCTGAGATCCAGTCCTTACAGATGGAAATAAATGAGAGTGTGAATTTTGTACAGAAAGAAATCAAGCAAGTTGAGGATAAGTTCAAAGGGCAAGAGGAAAAGCTGTCCTCTGCCAAACAAGGGGTCAGAGAGAAGTTTAAGAAAAAGAAACAGGATCTTCTTAAGAAGATTAACAATGCAAAGACACGTAGGCAATTTGATAAAATAACATTCTACCTTGCTCTGATTATGATTCAGTACAAATCTTTTGTGCTGGGTATGAACCCAGACAATGGCGTGTACATCCTAAATCTTATTTTGCTCGTACTTCTGCTAATCTGGAGGAATATTACCTATAGATTGGATAACTCTCATTATTACATGATGGAGTTCTGCTATTTTGCTAATGTTATCTTGTACACATTTATCTTCTTCTTCCCAGAGAATAGGACTTTATATCTAGCCTGCTTTGCCTTCTGTTGTGGACCAGTGGGATGGGCTCTAGCTCTTGTTGGGTGCTCTTTTGTGATACACAATGTCAACCAGCTGACTAGCATTTTTATACACTTTACTCCAATGGTGCTCATGATGAATCTTCACTGGAGAACTCAGTATAACGAAGATAGAGGGTGGAAATTGTATGATGCTAAGAAGGATGAGTTTGGATGGGAATTTATCAAAGATTATTACAAATCAGCAATTACTGTATATCTTGTATGGGCTGTTTTGTACTATCTTCTTGTATATGTTATCCTCAAAAATAGAATCACTGAAAGAAACTACACAACTCTTGCCAACTACCACATTAACAAGAACAGCTCAGTTGGAAAATTCATAATGAAGCTTGGGCCCAATTACCAGGGCTTAATGTACGTTGGCAGTCACTTTTTGAGCGTAATGGTGATCTTTACTGTCACTTTGGCCTCCTACTTTAATATGTGGGTGAATATTGTTATAATGTTCTTGGCGTCTTCGGTGAGCATTTGGAATGGAGCTACGTTTTATATGGAATATTTCTCGAAGAAATATGAGATAAATCTGAAGAAATTGGAGGAGACAGAAGTAGATACAGATAAGTCCAAAAGCAAGAAAGAATAAAATTTTACTCAAATTCAATACTCAGGCTATACAAAGGGGTTTTGGGGTTTTGGGGTTTTGGGGG